TCCGAAACTCAACAGAAATTGATGCGAACAAAAAAATCTAATCAATCACAATAATTTATCGATGAAGCACGAAGCACTTCTTTGACTGTGCTTGAAATAATGGCCAACATTGCAGCGCGGTAGTACGACATGTGTTAAGCTTCGTCTCCACGAGTTTAATGAAGCTGTTTTGTGTAGAATTGTTCTATATTGAATGGAAAAATGATGGCGCACTGCTTCTTCGATCCATTTTTGTCACAAGATTTTCATTAATCTCGCTTTCTTGCAAAATGTTTAATATCACAAAATAAAGGTTTCTTCGATTTTATTGGGTCCTTGTTGACGACTCTGTAATAACTGAAATTTCGTCACTGTTTCTCCTTCTTTAAAAACGAAGCTGCAGTTAAACGTAATAGAATACAACTTCTATAAATCGATGAAAAACTGTTCTCCTTAGATTTTACACTCATGGCGACAAACATTCACAGTGTACTATAATATTAATGATTTATTTTTAAGGCCTAACAGCGGATTATATGAGATTGAGCAAGATATAGGCACGCTAAAATTGTTATTCCTTATACTTGTTAAGGTAAGAGAGAAATTCCTCTACGTCCTGTTTGCCTCCCAAATAAATGATTCCTCTTTCATGGATATCACCAGGAACATGATCGAGAACAGGATGCTGGAATAATAGGATACAAAGTAAGGGATCTGCGCATAGCAAGCATTTGATTCTTCTCACCTCGCCTGTTGTCGCAATTCCTCCAGCTTGCTCGACTAGAAAAGCCATAGGAGCACACTCATAGAGGTAACGAAGCTGTAATAACATTATCCTTAGATAAGGAAGATATAAGCAAGAACACTCCAGGTAATCCTAGTTAAAAGTTACCTTTCCTTCGGGAGCGTCATCAGTCGCTGGATATAGGAAGATTCCACCATTTAGCAAGGTACGATGAACGTCTGCAACCATGGAACCCACGTATCTCAGTGCCATTCCTTTTTTACCTGGCTTAATTAGAATAAATTACCAATAGTATGCCTATAACAACAAAAATCACGAGTAGTAGGGGATTTCTAGCATATGATGACAAGTGATGCTGCTATCATCAATGGGGAATTCATTCCAGTCCTGGGCCAACCAAGACTTCCTTACTGGGTTGGTAGATTGGTACCAAAGCTTTTTGGGAGAATAAAAGCATTGAATCAAAGTTCGCCTAAATCCGTAATTCACTGTGTAGGCTCATAGGCGTCAACTCGCCTCTAGGATGTCAAGTGA